TAGAATTGGCAAAGTCCACCCTAATGCTAAATAAATGGAATCTGGCATGTCCAGTTTCTCTGCCAGCACTGCCCATCTCCCGGCTTCCTAATATTTTTGACTTCAGTTCCCATAATCCAGGCCAGGCCAGGCCTGGCCACATGGCCTTTGGTCTGGAATGCTGGACGCTCTCGACCAAAACATTTGCAAGTTTTGGGAGCGCATTCTACAGTAACTCTGGTTGCCCCTGTAAGTTTTGGCTCTGCTCGTGAATCCCTGGCACGTATTCAGTACTGGGCTAAGCATGAGTTGATTTCCTTTTCCCCATTTCCTGCTCCCACTGTTGTTTTTCACTGTCAAAACTGATGGATCGTATGTGGGATGCATGCCAAGATGCAGAAGCAGTTTCTGGAGTTTGGGGAAACTCAATGAATGTTCCAGGGAGGAGAGATAAGGGAAGCCATACTAACGTCAGACCAAGGATCAAATGCATTCCCTACCATGCACTGAATGTGTGCGTTCCCCAAGCAGCCTTTTGCATACACCGTGCACTGTAGAAATCTTCTTCACTGCCATCACTTTGATCTTTTTTCCCCGTGTTCTGTTGCCCATTATCTCCTCCACTGCGTACTATTAAGCACGTTCTGGTGCACTGCATGCCTGGGGCCCCAGTTCAAATCCAGTCTAACAAGTGAGAGTCAGGTAGGCCATGTTTAAACTTGCCGTGTTTCAAACACGGAGACTGCCAAACACTTGTTCTAGGATTCATTAGCCTCATTTAATGCTTCTTTCTTTCTGGAATCAATAGATCAAATTGTGAGGTTTATTCTGTTTAACACTTGAGCATTAGGAATTGAAAATATCACACAGAATGAAGATGATTGCTGGTTCCTTTGTTTGGATGGCAGCCCCCTAAAGAATATTTTGAAGCATCTAGCTATCAATACATTATGTTCCAGTGCTACATATTATCAAGATATATTCACCAGATAGCTTTAGGTTGATGATACAAATTAAAAAGGAACCCTTTTTGATTGTCTGAAAGCTGGTCAAATGCAGGTTTCAGCTCTGAACTCGTTAACAGTTACACAGCTAAATATACAAATATACACAGCCATAGGGAACATGGAAATGAAGGGTCATTAGGATATACTGACACAATTAAAAGTATCTTTGCCCTGATTAAGGAAAATCATCAGGTCCATCCACAAACGACTGTATACCATGCTTGCTGCCTGTTGCTGCTAGAAGTCTTCATTCCAAATAAATGTGCATCACATGATTCGCAGATAAGTGTTGTTGGATCTACAGGAAGAATTCGGGGTAATTTGCAGCAACGAGCAAGGACTTCTGACTCCTAGTTATTCAACAGCAGCAGCTGCTTTACGGCTGCTTGATGACCTCCCATATTTGAAGACCCAGACTGGCAGCTGCGGTGCTTAGTTGTACCCTCTGGGGAGAGAGCAACATTCACCTGGAAGAAGCCACTGGGCATCCCATGGCCAATAAAGCATAGATAGAATTCAGGTGAGAAAGTCCTGCCTAGTCCTGCTGTGCGTAAAGTTGGAACAGGCCGTTAGGCAGGTTACAACTTGTATATAGAAATGAAATTTTTTTGTGTTGGCCTGCCAACATTTATTGGACATATTTCTCAAATGTAAATTTTGATCAATGTTAGCATTAGATGAAATAAGGTCAAATTACGTCAGACATGGAAATGACCTGCAGCTGTGCTAAAACAACAAGATGGAGCGAATGCTGAAAGAAAGAAAACAGAGAAAGATTAACATGTTTCTTGAAAACAAAATCTGTAAGAATGTTTTACATGCATCAAAAAAGATCATCGATTTGCATTTTTCTAACTCTATCTGGATATGCCATAAGCTGGTACATTGCCAGCTGGGAAAATTTAGATGGCTTTGGTCAAAGCCCAGTCCTCACATTTCCAAAGCACATGGAACCCATTCAAGCACATTCATCTTACATGCATAAGAACATATGAAGGCTCATGCTGAACCCAACCAAAGTCCTATCAGTTCTAGAATCCAGATTTCATACAGGCCAGCTGGTTCATTTATTTATTGTTTATTTATTGCATTTATATCCCAAGGTGGCTAAGAATACACAGCCCTGACTCTTTGGAGAATGGTAAGGCAAAAAATATAAACAAGCAATTCTTACCTTTTACCTGAGCATAGAAGTTCAAATCCTTTATCAATTTTCTCAAAAGGCAATACATGCGTTATTAATGTATCAGTATTGAATTTTTTGTTCATATAATCAGAAACCAATTGAGGGAGAGCTTCTTTTAACTTCCAACCTGTGGGTGGGAGTGGGGAAACAAAGTAAGATTGGGTCACCTAGCGTGTACCATTTGGTTTATTTTCAAGGAATGGAATATTCAACTGCCACATCAGTATTAGGAAATGAAGATAACAGTCACTTTTATCAGTTAAGAATCCAAAATAGTATTGTCAAAGGACAACGTGGTGGAAAAGAGGTGCAGAAACACTTTTTAAATTAATACATAAAATAAATATTGCCTGAGGTTTGGTGTGGAGCACTTAATTTGGCACTCTGCACGCAGATATAATGTTTCGATGCTGCATGGTAAATGGGACTTGGAACGTCCACCTCATGGTCTTTATATGTCATTTTGAAGGAACCAGTGTTGTGTCTGTATTCATACCAAGTCTGACTTGTTTGAGCTGCACGCATTCTGTGGCACTGAATTCACCATTCCACTTATGTGCAGTCACGAACCCTTACCTCCAATCAAACACCCAATCAACTTCCTCCCTGTGAGGAGAAGATTGGGACTGATGGAGAGCTGCGATCCTGCAGGAGGTGCCCCAACCAGAACACAGACTCCATGACCCAGGTGGCAGGAAGCGAGGGCAGCGGCCTGTTTGAGACACACAGAAAGACAAGCTAGGACCTGGAAATGATCGGGGAGCAGAATGCTTGAGCATCCTGGCTGGTGGTTGATCCAGCAAACCATTCTAGCTCTATGAGAAGGTTGACCCGAGCACCACTGTTTGATTTATGATCGGTGAGAGGTGGACACCCCCTTCATCCCCCCTCCTCCCATCCCACTCTGATCATTGCTCATGTCATTTCAGGTGGCAAAAGCAAAAAAGGATAGGTAATTCCAAGGGACTCTTATCCGTAGGGCCCTGCAGGGCTGTGGGCCCCCAGCAGGTGCCCAACCCTGCCTACCCTTCTTGCCAGTTCTAGCCACCATCGCAAACATTACCCAGAAGTCCAAGCAAGGCACTTATAGATCTACTTCATAAAGGTTCTGCACAGCATCTTCAGAAACT